TGCAGTGCGCTCACAGCACACTGAAGCTAACGAGTCATCAGATGAGTTCATACTGGCTCGTGAAACGGTAGTCCGTTTTGTGCAAGACTCCATCGCCGAAGCGGTGGATAAGCAAAAGCAAAACGCTGACAAGAATGGAAGGGCAAACACTCTTTTATTTAATAAAGGTGACTTAGTCCTACTGTCTACGGTTAATCTACCAAAACATGTAGTGACTAACTTGGGTAGCAGTAAACTACTACCCAAGTACATTGGCCCATTTCGTGTATTGCACCGCCTAGGCAATGCATACACGATCGAGTTACCACGTAAGATGCGAACGCATCCCACGTTTTACGTTGGTCGGCTTAAGCCGTACCATCAGTACGCTGCTTCTTCCGATGAAGAACGCCCTTGCGCTCAAGCATCTCGCAGAGAGCCTTGTGCTCCCGATGAGTGGGCATCAACAAGGGTCTGAAGAGCAGTTATCTCAGCCCGAGACCGATCAACAATCCCACGAGCTACCCTTAGCTCGTCACGAAGAGATGTCAGAGATCTCTCGTTCTCAAGCTGAGCAAAGGCAAACTCAGCTCGATGCTTCGAGGCAGTGTCCACCATCTGGAGACGCCTATTCCGCTCATGCTCGAGATCGTCGCGTAACCCTTGCGTTACGCGATCAAAGAAGCTCTCGGGAACACACCGATCCACATGATCGTGTGGAGAGCGTCTTTCCTCCTCCTCCACCTCCATTAGAGGACTCTCGCGGTGGCCAGCGCTATCTAGTAGAGCAGCTGTTGAACCACCGCGACGTGAACGGACGTCGGACGAGTTACCTCGTCCGGTGGCGCGGCTATCCCCCGTCCTGGGATTCTTGGGAGCCCCGCTCCCAATTGATGGTTGACGTACTGGGTCTGGTCGAGCAGTACGACGCGACACATCCTGTGCCGCAGAAGGACCGCCGGAGAAAGTCTTCCCGGCACGGTCGTAAAGGGATTTCAGGTTGTCAATCCCTTCGTACATCTCAGTAGAGACACGTACACGCCACCACGGGCTGGTAAGGAGGTAAGCCTCCTTAGGTGCTCGTGCAGAGTTGTTCACACAACATGGGCACGAGTCTCCCCAAGAGAGGCAGGGTAATCCTTTCTCCCTTGACAGACGATGCAGCTTGTAGCGTGCACCTGTCGGGGTTCGCTTTTCAAACTTATCACGAGCTTTGATAAGTTTGTCGTTCCAAGCGTCACGACCTACATCCTCGAGATTATGGATGTAGGCGTTCCACGCCTGAAGTAGTGAGGGACCATCACGTTTGTGATTCCCACTGTACCATCGATGTCTGAAGAAAGCATCGATGAAGAATTCATGTTCAGCGCGATAGTCTTTCGCGCTGGGGTCAAGGTGATGAATCCTTGACGAATCGAACAATCGTGTTCGATAACGATCACTCGTCGTCGCCGACAAGTGATCCATGACAGATTTAGGAGGCATCCATGCCTTCTTTTCTGGAGCGAGACGCAACACATTGCGGTCCCGCTCTTCCTGCGACGTGCCGACAGAAGTACTGGCACCTCGCTGTGAAGTGGTGTCCATAGGAGAACCGACACCACTATTAGCGCCCGAGTCTCGCGACCTCGAGCGCCTTCGCTTCGGCGATGGTTCATCTGACTCATCAGATGAACCAAAGATGCTGCGACGCAAAGCATCGTCCATGCCACGCTTGGCAGGCGGCTTGGATTCAATTGCCGTCGATACGGATCCGTCATCCGTATCAGGAGAGTACGAGACACCGAGCTCGTACTCTGTGAAGACACGAGTGTCTTCATGACCAGCGCCTGCATCACCAGGTGATACAGGCTGAGTCGATTCAGCAACCGATGGGATATCAGTTGCTGTAGTTTCTGCTTCGGCGTCCGCACAGAGACGTGCAGACGCGCTCTCGGCGGCCTTGCTCGCGCATCGCATGGGCTTGTTTACCATGCGATGAGATGTTGGAAAGTGGACGCGGACCAACAAGTGCAAACCCCGTCCCAAATGATTTGGGACGAGTATCCATTTAGTCAATCAGTCACTAAAGTGACTGATGGTTAAGGGGGGGGTGATGTAACGGGGTGAATCGTTACATAACAATTTATAAGAAATTGTTAATAGAATATAACTATAAGAGTTATATTCTCAGAATATTGTCATAAGGACAATATTCTGTAGCACTTCCGAGTAGTTCCTAATTGGTTGATATAGGCCATTATATCAACCAACGAAGACGCGCCACGACAGACGCACGCAATGAGTGGTGAGCAGATAACTGATTTACACATTTGTATTTAGTCATAGTTAGATGAAGATAAATAGTGATTTATTGCAGACATTAACTATTATAAATACAGTTCTACTTTTTACTCTAACCGAGTACTCGCTTCTTCTTACCGTCTTCCTCTGCACGTACGAGTGTACGTGAAGTTACGAGGCACCGCCTTATTCTGTTATCAGAATAAGTAGCTTGTACTGTCACCAGTACAAGCTTCAGGGTGCCCCGTTACACATTGAATGTCACAGTCAATAACGTATCAAGTGTAGGCGCTTACACACTTGATCTGATTGCGCCTTGATGTTAACTTCGGAGATCACTCAGTTGCCAACGCTCGAACATAAAAGGTTCTTGCGTGATCTGCGTAGTGGCAAAGTCAAGAAGATCTGCGTACTCGTCGCTGACGACGAGTGTGTAACCGACATAAGGTCAGCAACAGTGTTTACTGAGAACGAGAGAGTTCTCAGTAGTTCATCTATGGACGAGAGTGTCCTAGATGAAAAGACACGAATTGAGCGATATGACTCCCAATCATGGGAAACGCTCAAGAAAAATCCTCTCTATGAAGATTTGGTTGAATTCAAGGATGTATTCCCTGAAACTGTTCCGTGCGAATTACCGAAGGATAAAGGTATTCGACACGAAGTCGAGCTTAAACCAGGCTCGAAGTACTGTGTCATGAAGCAGTGGCCACTGCCTCGTGAACAAGTACTTGCGATCGACAAGTTCTTTGCCGACCGTTTAGCTGCGGGCCATGTGAGGGAATCAACTTCCCCACATAGCTCTCCGACCTTCTGTGTGCGAAAAGCAACAGGAGGGTGGCGGATAGTGCACGCGTTCAACAAATTGAACGCTGCAACGGTACCGGCTCAGACGCCGATACCGAGGAAGGACGTAATCATTGATGGTATGTCAAAGAGTACCATCTTTTCGTCCATGGATTTGATGGATGGCTTCTATCAAATCCTTATGCGGGAACGGGATATACCCTATACCGCAGTTAGCACGCCTAGCGGCATGCTCTGGGAATGGCTAGTAATGCCACAAGGGCTTAGTAATGCCCCTGCCACGTTCAACAGATGTGTATCACATCTGTTGAGACCAGTACGAGAATTCGCGCCGAGTTATTTCGATGACGTATTCATCCATAGTCGAGCTATGGATGGAAAGTCGGACGTTGAGGTTCACAGGTACCACGTCCGACAGGTTCTTACAATCATGCGAAAGCATCAATTGTATGCAAACCTCAAGAAGTGTATATTTGCCGCAAGCAAAATACCACTTCTTGGGTGCATCGTTGGTAAGAACGGTGTACGTCCTGATCCCGAAAAGATCAAGGCGATCACCGACTGGCCTGTGCCGGTTGATGTCAAAAGGTCTTCGAAAATTCCTTGGGCTAGCGGCGTATTTGCATAAGTATTCACGCAATTACGCCGAGATGACTGTGCACCTCTCTTGTTTGTTGAAAAAGAACGAGAGGTGGTTATGGAACGCTGAATGTCAGCGCTCATTTGAGGGTATCAAGCAGAGCTTGATACAATCCCCAGTCCTAGCAATAGCCGATCAGGACAGGCCATTTCATGTGGTCTGTGATGCCAGCGATTTCGCAATCGGCTGTGCATTAATGCAGTACGATCTTGAAGGCGTCGAACGCGTCGTCTGCTATCAGTCGCGTCAGCTGCAACCAGCTGAGCGGAACTATCCAGTGCATGACAAGGAACTCCTTGCCATGGAGTATGCACTCGCGAAGTTCAGAGTCTATCTATTAGGAGATAGACCCTTCGTTGTTTACACTGACCATGCGTCATTACGCACGGCAGTGAACAGCCCGCACCTTTCACAACGAATGGCGCGGTGGTTGTCATTCTTTGCGAAATACAACTTTACGTTCGAGTACAAACCAGGACGACTTAATGTCGTCGCTGATGCACTCTCACGTCGTCCCGACTTTGAAACAGTCGCGAAACCCAACAGTGAGACAGTCACTGTTGCGGTTATGACGTCCTCAGTCCCATCTACAACGTTGTATGATGATGTGAGGCGGGCTTACGCCCAAGATGGTGAGATTGTGAGGTTGTTGACACATCTCTCCCAACCATCCCGAGAATCGTTGAAACGATTGTCGCCTGCGTATCGATCTGCATCAGATCGATACACTACTCGTAACGGTTTACTGTATTATACAGCCGTTTCTGGTGACACACCACGTGTTGTCATTCCAGATGATACTGATCTGCGTTTGCGGATCATGTTCGAGTATCACGATGCTCCTATAGGAGGACATCGTGGCCGAGAGAAAACATATCTCACGGTAAGTCGAGACTTTTACTGGCCCCGCCAGTATCAATTTGTGCGAAAGTATGTTCGCGCATGCGAAGTCTGTCAACGAGTGAAGTCAAGTCCTTCACTGCGTGCACCTTTACAGCCTCTACCGGTTCCGGCTGAGTGCTGGGAATCCATCTCAATGGATTTCGTCTTCGGGTTACCCAAAGACGCACGCGGGAATACGGGTATTCTCGTATTTGCTGACAGATTCAGCAAAATGGTACATCTTGTGGCTGTACCAGAGACAATCACGGCAAGTGGCTGTGCTTGTGTCTTTATTGACACCATCTTCCGACTTCATGGGTTGCCCTGTGAACTCGTATCAGACAGAGATCCACGATTCACTGCTGATTTCTGGCGTTCCGTGTTCAAATCACTCGGAACGCGCTTGAAGATGTCAACATCTGATCATCCAGAGTCAGATGGTCAGACGGAACGTGCCAATCGTGTCCTTGAAGAGAAACTTCGAGGATACGTACACTCCTTTAAGAGTTGGAGTGAGTTTTTGCCAATGGTAGAGTTTGCCATCAACAACTCGGTGCATGCGTCCACGACACATACACCGTTTTACGTGAATGGCTTGCGCCATCCGCGTGTACCCACCTTACTAGAGTGTAACTCTGGTTTAAGGTGGGGAGGGACTCGCGCGAGCAAAAACCGATTTGGTTCACGCTCATCACGCTCTGACGAAGAAGTCATTGCGTTTGATGCCGATATCGATAACATCGATATCGAAGAAGATGATGCCAGTGAGAGTGCGGAAGCCCTCACTGAAGAAGATGATCCCAGTGAGAGTGCGGAAGCCCTCACTGAAGAAAAGATTGATGTTGCCACAGTGCGCTCACAGCGCACTGAAGCTAACGAGTCATCAGATGAGTTCATACTGGCTCGTGAAACGGTAGTCCGTTTTGTGCAAGACCCCATCGCCGAAGCGGTGGATAAGCAAAAGCAAAACGCTGACAAGAATGGAAGGGCAAACACTCTTTTATTTAATAAAGGTGACTTAGTCCTACTGTCTACGGTCAATCTACCAAAGCATGTAGTGACTAACTTGGGTAGTAGTAAACTTCTACCCAAGTACATCGGCCCATTTCGTGTATTGCACCGCCTAGGCAATGCATACACGATCGATTTACCACGTAAGATGCGAACGCATCCCACGTTTTACGTTGGTCGACTTAAGCCGTACCATCAGTACGCTGCTTCTTCCGATGAAGAACGCCCTTGCGCTCAAGCATCTCGCAGAGAGCCTTGTGCTCCCGATGGTGGGCATCAACAAGGGTCTGAAGAGCAGCTATCTCATCCCGAGACCGATCAGCAATCCCACGAGCTACCCTTAGCTCGTCACGAAGAGATGTCAGAGATCTCTCGTTCTCAAGCTGAGCAAAGGCAAACTCAGCTCGATGCTTCGAGGCAGTGTCCGCCATTTGGAGACGCCTATTCCGCTCATGTTCGAGATCGTCGCGTAACCCTTGCGTTACGCGATCAAAGAAGCTCTCGGGAACACACCGATTCACATGATCGTGTGGAGAGCGTCTTTCCTCCTCCACCACCTCCATTAGAGGACTCTCGCGGTGGCCAGCGCTATCTAGTTGAGCAGCCGTTGAACCACCGCGACGTGAACGGACGTCGGACGAGTTATCTCGTCCGGTGGCGCGGCTATCCCCCGTCCTGGGATTCTTGGGAGCCCCGCTCCCAACTGATGATCGACGTACTGGTTCTGGTTGAGCAGTACGACGCGGCACATCCTGTGCCGCAGAAGGACCGCCGGAGAAAGTCTTCCCGGCACGGTCGTAAAGGGATTTCAGGTTGTCAATCCCTTCGTACATCTCAGTAGAGACACGTACGCGCCACCACGGGCTGGTAAGGAGGTAAGCCTCCATAGGTGCTCGTGCAGAGTTGTTCACACAACATGGGCACGAGTCTCCCCAAGAGAGGCAGGGTAATCCTTTCTCCTTTGACCGACGATGCAGCTTGTAGCGTGCACCTGTCGGGGTTCGCTTTTCAAACTTATCACGAGCTTTGATAAGTTTGTCGTTCCAAGCATCACGACCTACATCCTCGAGGTTATGGATGTAGGCGTTCCACGCCTGAAGTAGTGAGGGACCATCACGTTTGTGATTCCCACTGTACCATCGATGTCTAAAGAAAGCATCGATGAAGAATTCATGTTCAGCGCGATAGTCTTTCGCGCTGGGGTCAAGGTGATGGATCCTTGACGAATCGAACAATCGTGTTCGATAACGATCACTCGTCGTCGCCGACAAGTGATCCATGACGGATTTTGGAGGCATCCATGCCTTCTTTTCTGGAGCGAGACGCAAGACATTGCGGTCCCGCTCTTCCTGCGACGTGCCGACAGAAGTACTGGCACCTCGCTGTGAAGTGGTGTCCATTGGAGAACCGACACCACTGTTAGCGCCCGAGTCTCGCGACCTCGAGCGCCTTCGCTTCGGCGATGGTTCATCTGATGAATCAGATGAACCAAAGATGCTACGACGCATAGCATCATCCATGCCACGCTTGGCAGGCGGCTTGGATTCGATCGCCGTCGATACGGATCCGTCTTCCGTATCAGGAGAGTATGAGACACCGAGCTCGTACTCTGTGAAGACATGAGTGTCTTCATGACTAGCGCCTGCATCACCAAGTGACACAAGCTGAGTCGCTTCAGCAACCGATGAGACATCAGTTGCTGTGGTTTCTGCTTCGGCGTCCGCACAGAGACGTGCGGACGCGCTCTCGGCGGCCTTGCTCGCGCATCGCATGGGCTTGTTAACCATGCGATGAGATGTTGGAAAGTGGACGCGGACCAACAAGTGCAAACCCCGTCCCAAATGATTTGGGACGAGTATCCATTTAGTCAATCAGTCACTAAAGTGACTGATGGTTAAGGGGGGGTGATGTAACGGGGTGAATCGTTACATAACAATTTATAAGAAATTGTTAATAGAATATAACTATAAGAGTCATATTCTCAGAATATTGCCATAAGGACAAATATTCTGTAGCACTTACGAGTAGTTCCTAATTGGTTGATATAGGCCATTATATCAACCAACGAAGACGCGCCATGACAGACGCACGCAATGAGTGGTGAGCAGATAATTGATTTACACATTTGTATTTAGACATAGTTAGATGAAGATAAATAGTGATTTATTGCAGACATTAACTATGATAAATACAGTTCTACTTTTTACTTTAACCAAGTACTCGCTTCTTCTTACCGTCTTCCTCTGCACGTACGAGTGTACGTGAAGTTACGAGGCACCGCCTTATTCTGTCATCGGAATAAGTAGCTTATACTGTTACCAGTACAAGCTTCAGGGTGCCCCGTTACACCATTCGTATTTAAATGTTATCAGCAGAAATAGATGTAGATTGTACCGGAACAAGAATGGGATCCTAATTCTACACGTTTGTGATGGTAACAACTTACGCTTACAGGTCAGGATCAACGTAAAATGAAGGAATACATTCGAAACCGAAGTAAATGAAGACTGAAGGCTAAACCCTCGTCTTGTGCTGCAGGGTCAACATGAGGTTAAATTTAGTCGGGTATGATCACAGCCATGTGATGGTGATATAGACCATATCTCCTGTGCTTCGTTCGACAGAGTAGACAAAAATGCGGTGGCATCGCCATTCTGGTTGAAGTAGTTTGCTGTACACATAAGTAACGTTGGATCTTGGTACTTTTGATGATGTGTGCTCACGAGACAATGATAAAGCCAAAAACCGCCTCGAACAACTCTGGCACGGCTCCAGACTTAGGACACATAGCTTAGGCATAAATGCACTAGAAGCTTCTAACAACTACTTCCGAAGTCGTGGTATATTCGAGGACAAATCAAGCAAAAGTTAAAAGCCTAGGATCTAAACTCGTTTGAGTTTCTGCAAAAAGCGACTTGAGATTTAGAGCAGCTATCATGCTTCTACTTTAAACTGAAATGCAACTGCGTCTGAGTTTATTATGTCGAAGGAGGCTAGCATGTCGTAACTTGATCAACTGTACCTATCTGATTGCATTTTTGAGGCCACAAATGGCCATACTTGCTTGAGCTTTCACACGTATGAAGCCGGTCACATGTTTCCTACATCAACCAAACATTGTACTATTGTTATGCCTGGTGTAGGAGCTCTGCGTACCAGATAAGATTTGCAATACACGAAAGAGAACAAGACGGCAGAGTAAACGTTGACACTATCAGCACAACCCCAAATTCAAAAATGTATTCAAGCAAATATCTCAAATCATTTGTAGGCGCCCCGTACAGCAAGGAGCAACGTTGTCAATACTTTCGACTACCAATGTGCAGCAAAGCAGCAGTCGCTCGGTTCAAGCGTTGTCTATCTGCTTCGATGGCAATCGACGCTAAAAGACCGCGTGATGTCAGGGTTGCGACAGTTAACCAGCCCAAGATGGCACCTGTTGGGGTATTCGCTGCCCTTGCTGCCGCACATCTCCCCGTTGTCCTAGACGGCACCAGCGTCTAGCCAGAAGTTAGACCACCACCTTTCTTCGGGCCAAGCTTGTTCACGTTATCGGGATCAAAATAGACCAGGTCGTCGAACTCACCAAAGCTTGGGGTGTTGTTTGTTTGCTTCGCAGGTACCTGAGGACCGCGTCCTTCCAGTTGCTCAGGAGTTAATACCGTTGGTTTGTTAGGAACGATGAAGGTGTTGGTAGATTGCTTAGTGTCCTGACCAGTTTCGCCTTTGGGCCCAGCCGGAGAGGCCACTGGGAAACCGTTGTTGTTCAACGTGCTCGGGGTTGAGGCCGGCGGCAATCCGTTAGCCGGATATCCAGGACCCATTCGTTCAAGACGCCTAGGCGCCGTCGGTATAACTGGAACAGTGTTCGTCCCGAAGGAGCCGGCGGACGTGCTGATGACGGCGATGGCAGCGAGCACGAGATCAGTGACGAGCTTCATCTTGCAGATTGATGCGTTGAGGTGGGGTCTTGTGTGAGGGCAGATGCAAATTCGAGAATGGTCTCAGCTGGAGGTGACTTGACTGCGAACTTTCAGAGCACACTTGGCATGTCGCAGCGATAGATCCAGTGGCTTCTCGTGACGATGCGGCGCAAGCAAATGTCTGCACTCAAGCCCTAACCGTCAGCCGCTTCTTTGTCCTCTGCGCAACTTCTCCAAGCAGATGATGCCGTCATTAAGTAAACTGTCGATGGCTGGGCCGTGCAGCCGGTTTATTGTAAAAGCAGATGTATATCTTAAAGGAGCGGTTTGTCAAGGTTTTTATCGCCCGAGTGTTTTGCTTACGATGTTACGTGGATGGTAATGCGTGGCAGCAACGATCGTCTTGTCGTCGGCTCCGTCTCTCTTATGAAGTAGCCTTTTTAAACTCTTGAATCAAACGTAGCACTAAATCGTGCCACGTGCATGTCACTCGTCGAACTTTCTTCCAAAATTTCGTCCGGAAATTCCAGGAGAGCAGCCGCATAATCTGGAATCAAAACGTCATGGGAAGCTGCCGCGCAAGTGTCTTTCTAGGTAAACAGGTTTGCTCCAATAGTGTGCGTTGTACTGTAAAGCCGACAGCGTAACTAAAGTAGTCTCGTCTGAAGCAAGCTGCTAGAAATTCCCCTACGACAGCGCCGGGACGCGTCCGCAACGAGGTAACTACTGAGCTGAACGAATACATCTCCAACGCAATCGACGAAAGTTGAAAATGCGAAGTATAGTTTGCCTCACAAACGTTTAGACAAAGTGAGTGTTGTTAGTGTCAGCGCAGCGTGCTTCAAAAACGAGGGCCCATGGACACCACGATCCCTGGTGAGTCACAGTGCCATAGCCTCACCTAGAGTTCAAAGTGTCCGTTGTACTCATAATCTTACGGCCATCGATGCATGCTTGCTTATAACGATTGACTACCACACTATCACTAGCCTGATAAAAGCATGAAATGCGAACGTTGATCGTGATTGCTTACGGGCTTCGACTGTGCATGGATTGAGTTGAACGTATATGGCTACTTTAAGATGTGTGGAAACCGATGATCTGGCTGTACTAGCGGCAAACAGACAAGTAAAGTCGTGGGCTAAGCACTGCAGGTGCTGCATCTGTTTGACAGGCAGTGTCCAGAGGGATCTCCACTATACGCTATCGTGCCTCTGACATCAAAACTGTTGGTATGCACACGTCATTGCCGTCTTTGCAGGCAATCTGCAGTGCTCTATAAAGCTGTCAGTGCCACAATTCACGCTAGCATCGAGCCCAAGCAAAAGTGATCAACAGTGCGCGCGTGCTTACTATCATGAGCTATGTCCGTTGACACACAACAATCACGGTCATGACGGTCGTAGTTGACGAAATTCAGTCTGCGGTGGGCAGCTCGAAGATAGGAAATTCTCTCCAACGTCGTAATGACAGCTTTCGAAATCTGCAAAATTGCATTCACCACCTAACACCGGCGACACGTTCTCCTGTGTATAGGTCGATCTAATCAAGCTTGTTTGACCACTACTGCGATCTAGTGCACTTTGCGCTCGTACGATAGTGGCTGTGGTGCAGGAAATTTCTAATTTAATCCGGAGCTTGTTTGAGGCATCGAACAATGCGCAAGAAGTTTCGGAAACTCTACTAGATCGGTACGTAAAGCATGCTCATGTAGTATCGAACCGCGCCGCTAATTTTGTAATGTGCGAAAAGGCATCTACGACCTCCCTATCATACTTATGACCCACTATAAAATTATCTCAGCCATGGAATGGAATGTCATCTCCACCGACTCCGTGTAGTGGGCACTACAGAATACGAATTACTCGATAGACTGCATTTTCTACTACGTGAGTGATGTTTTGGCTATCGCAATGCAGAAAACGAGGAATGCGCTTGTTTACACAAGAGAATAATGCAAACTCTCAACAAAGACACTGAAACTAACGAAGCCGAAATCAGGACGAATATTTAATTTTCGATTTTACATCGGCTAAGTGAGAGACTGTGAGGAGTGAATGCGCTTGGTGATCCCAAAACTATTGCAGCAAGACTCTCTACACCATAACTGTATTAGTTTAGAAGGTGGAAACCAGGGGATAGGACGCACCTATCAACGGAACAGGGCGAATTACGCAAGTAGGGGTTATAAAAATTGTTTGCAACGTAACGTGAGTAAATTCGTTTATTGTGATACGAGCAAAAATCACCCATATCATCGAAGCGGATCACTTAGTGGTTTGCAAGCACTTATTCTTTTCAAGTTATGGCTTTGCATTTTATCCCTTGTTGTCACGATCATTAATAAAATTACAGAAATAATGCTATGGCCCGAACTTTTTTTTGAACAAATTATTGCGCAAGCAAGCATTTCCCGGATTGCACATAAGATTGCAGAGAATTACGATAACATAATTCCCGAACGTCGACTTAGTGTTTATTCTAACATGATGAGGCTGTACATGTAATCAACTTTGATACTTGTTTATTGTGATATTTTAATAAAGGTTGATAATGCTCGTAAATATTACCATAAGGGTAATATTCCGAAACACTCACCAATAGGCTGATATGGGCCATCATTTCAGCAAACTCTAGTGGTTCAATTAACGATGGACACGCGTAATGAGTGGTGAGCAAGTCCTGAGCATACACTTCAAAAGAGAATTATAACTAAGTTAGGACTAAACTTAGATACATGTATTAATAGCTCAAACATATTTATATATATAAATATATAAAATATAATAGATTTGATACAGTTTATTTTCTTTACCCCAATTTGACGCGTCATTAATTAGCTAGCTTTCCTCTGCACTAATATTGAATGTGAAGTGATGCGCGGCATCGCTTCAACACTACCAACACTGCTTTCCGAGTATGTGCACTAGTACTGCAGCAGTACCAATGAACAGTGCCCCGTTACACCTCGTAGCATTTTGTAGTCTGTCCAAGGACCGCATCCCTACATCCAACATGAACATGTTGGATGATGATGATAGTGATAGATAGCACGTCCCGCGCGAATGCTACTCCTTCTTTAGTGACATCGAATGGAGTGCGGTCGAAAAAATGGGATCGACCGTGGGCAAACATGCCGTCTGTAACATGCTGTCCGCACTGGACAGAGATGGGCAGCATTCCGCCGTCGCCAAGTTCATACAAAAAGAACTTGACGATTCACGGTTCAAAATAACCTTGCTTCTTTAGAAGTATTCTTAGCAGGAAAATCTGTTGAGAGAACAGGGTTCCAACAGTTCAAAGTATAAAGACAACAGCAGGCCCATGCTGCTGTTTACGGGGCGACGCACGCGCGTCGAACCGAAACTTTGAAGGTAGAAGTATCAAAGTGCAGACGATTCGAGGAAGACTTTCTGCTGAGATGGTTCGTCGAGTTGGACGACGCCATTAGGGCTCTTCACATCGTCGATGAGCAAGTGCAAGTCACATTTGCTCAGTAGAACCTGGCTGGACGTGCCAAAACTTGGGCATTAGGGTTCAAGTTGCACGACCCACATGTGCCAGACTATACTATTATTATCAAAAGTTCTGTTGTTTGGATCGTTTGAGGTCTTCAAGACTTGACTCAGACAATCGTTTGAGCTGCCAAGGGCTGAGTTTGGGGCTCGATCAGAGCTCCTGAAACTCAAGCAGGGTATGTTTGATGTGCACACTTACGCCTAGCACGTTGACTCCTAACAAGTTGTATCACGGCCAAACCGGTCCACGAACAATGTGTGTTCGTGGACCGGGTTGGCCGTGATAATCATTGATCACAATATTCATGTAGGGTTTTGAGGGTAGTCCCGCCAAGAATTACCTGTTCTCCTTGGAACTGGATACGCTAGAAGAAGCTATATCAGTTGCGGAAAAGAAGACTTTAGCTTGATACAGGGTCATGCTGGTTTGGTTCATTTCGTCTCACAAGACGACAAGAATTCGGAGGTCCAGAACCTATGGACCTCTATCATGTTGGGAGCTAAAGACCTTGCTCTTATCCAATAAGAGATTGCAGGAGTGCAATCGCTGCCAGAAGTTGGCACACTAAGCTTACGAGTGTAGCGCTTTAAGCCCAGTCTTTCGAAATACTGAGCGAACGGATAGAACTTTTGCCAGGAAGGGCAAAGGGCGCGGGTCCAACATTGCTGCAAAATCGAAATAGCGTGGTGATCTGTCTCAAAATGATCTGGATCAGTAGGGACGGATCGTCCTACTGATTCTGTAGCCTCGATAAGATTAGCAAGTCTAGTTGTAAAAGTTGCACTAGACTGACTTTCACTAGTTGTCTCTGCACTTGGTGACGAGGTACCCCTCATTACCTTGGATTTAGAATTGAATTAAATAAAATTGACTTCGTGCTCTTGTAGAATGTAGGGCATTAAACAGTTACATTCGGCACCAGTCGCTAGAGGATCGTAGGATCAATTTTGTTAAGCGCGATATTCTCCGGCAAGGACGAGGGTGCGCCTCGCAACAGGCGAATCGATAACTTCGATGAAACGTATAGAAGGAATCTACTAAACGTTAAAAGAGAAATAGAACGATGACGTTTTTTTCTTGCTATTTTCGGATGACAAGTCTGATGTCTTACTAGGTATGCCTTGATTCAAAAAGTACGAACTAAATGTCAGCTGGCAGCATCGGACCGTGAAAATGTTTGCCACTTCTTCATCAAGTGGTCATCTAACGAATGTCTTTGAGCTTATACAAGCGTGTGTATGGACTGTGAGTGAGAGCGATGGACTCACTTGCGGTACGGTTGTTAATACGACTGCACAAGATCACAGTGTGACAACCATTTACACTGCAGAGGAAGCTGTCAGCGGCTATGCGGATACAAAGGCAGCGCCGGAGGTCCTTCACTCAAACAAGTCGAGTGTATTAGGGAATGGGTGTATGCCAAGCGGGTGACTACCAATTAACAAAAAGAACACTTTCACACAGGGCAACCTGATTACCCTAGATCGGTTGGAGATTAG